TATTGAAATTCTTTTGGAACGAATGGAAGGAACATTCACGGCTTTTCGTCTTGCCACGCAGGTCATATAACTCAGAATTTACACAAGGAGCTTGGAGAAAATTGCAATTTTCTGGACGAAGGTACTTCTGAATTAAGGTGAAGTGAACTTTGGCGGGCCTCTTGGCAGCAGCTGACAGCAGCCTCCTACCCAGAAGCTTGTTGGGCTCGTAACGCAATCTCTTAGGTAGTCTGCGTTGGAGACTAGTCGTAAGGATGCTCGCCCAATTCATCGCTTCACCGCTGTTTCTTCCGGGAAAATAGGCTCAGAGAAGTCAAATTCACTCTGTCCACCTTCTTCGAGAAGGGCATCCTCTTTTTCGGGATTTAACTGAGAGCCGTATGCGACTGAGAAAGCGGAGCCGTGCTAACGTGATGCGACATTTTCAGCATGGAACCAGAGTTTGCTCTGTGTCATGTCCCCTAATCGATTCCACCTTCGCCAAGGGAAGATCCTTCCCTGACGAAGTTGGTAAAGAATGGTGATCTGACTCACACGCCAAGAAAAAAAGATAACTTGTGAGGACAACAAGGTGCCTTTATAGAGGGATCTGATTTGCGTGACTAGACGTGAAAGGCCCGAGTATTACAGAGTAAAGGCCCGGGGTAAAGGTCAGTACAGACCCAAACGTTTTAAGTGCTGCATTAGCATACGACTTAATTCTCGTGAAGAAAACATTATGTTAAATAGGAATTGATTCCAAACGTTCAAGTGCGTGCTAAACGTAGCAGTCGGTGAGGTTTTCCGCTTTCAAGTGTCAGCATTACAGGAGATAATATTGATTGGCTTTCAAAACATGGAATATAGTTTGGGAACAAACGAAAAACTCTAATAAGCGGATATATTCTTTGTAAAAGTTTGGAGTATTTTCTAATATTTCAAGGTCTGTGCGTAGTGCAACGTAAATTGTGCAAGAAATCCAAAATCCTACTCCGCGCTTCATTTATAGTAAGTATGCATTGTGAGCTCTCCACTTGATGTCAGTGGGTAATATTGTACATCAGCTGGGAGATCTTGAAAAACATATAATAACAGTACGCCGTAAGTCTTCTACGTCAGTGTCGTGTCTGTGTCTAATAATTCCTGTAGGATAAGTTTATCTAAATAATCATCCGAATCATGTAAAATTAAACCAGAACATACCGAAACAATCAGGGTATACTCCTTCCTTTCCATAGGGGCACGGTTCCTTGTCACCTATATAGACAGAATTTGGGTCAGATAAAACGAACAAACAAACTAAAAATAAAATACAATAAAAAAAAAAACAAAACAAAACAAAACAAAACAAGACAAAAAAACAGCCCAAGGAAAACAGTTTACCTACGAAAATTTATCACATTTCTCACCTGCACAATAAGCGACGGCACAGTAGTAAGCTGGCCTAAGGTAGTAAACGAAATAATCGCCACAGTTCGTTATGTTGATATCAAACCGCTCCCAGCAACCGTCACCAAAGACGTGGATGCATGCTTCGCGAACCACATTTTCTCCTTTGATTTCTGGATGTTTTCCGTTCAGCCAAACTGGAGCTTGTGTACCACAGTGATCCTCCGGCACCTTCCATTCTGGGATTTTTCCGCCAGTATAGCTTGTAAAGCGATACCATCCCCATCGCAGAGCTCGATCACAAAAAGGCTTTTCTCCAGCTTTCCAAACAGCTTTCGTACTACGGCGGGGCTCGTTGATCGATTTGTAAGTAGTGGTGCTGCAACAGTCACCACAACCTCGTGTCGGGCAAACAAAAAAACTTGGAAGTACAAGAATAAGGAAGTATCCAAGCGAAACAATTCCTGTACGCAACATTTTGCACAACTCCTGCAGTATACTGAGATGAGTTCAGTTGCGTTCTTCTTTAGAAAGCTCTGAAACCTTTAGTAAAAATAGGGATGACTGTATTCATTTGTGGTATTAAAGTTATAATAAGTCAGAGTGTTTTTCCGTCAATGCTGAAACGCGAGACACGTACCTTCACAATAGGCCACGTTCGATATCGTTATCAATACTCTAACATGACTCCGAGGCTTTCGGGACAAAATTGTAAATTATTTTGTCTCTCAATTCCCAAAAGGGACTTGGATACAAAAAAAAAAATCAAAACCAAATATAGAAGTTTGTCCTGAAAGCCTCGGAGCCGTGTTAGAAAATATTGATATATCGAACGTGGCCTATTCATAGTGCAACTTTAAGACACATAAAGATATCTCAAGCGGTAGTTCCCGAACTTTTACATGAGAACTCTACAGTATGTATGGTAAAATACTTTTGTTTCTTTGGTGATGTCAAGAAAAACCCTTCCTTGGTAGCTATAAACGCCGCTTTCTGTTTTCCCCACCAAAAAATATTTTTCAAGTGGAATCACTCATTTAATAATATTTCCTCTAACGCATGCCAGTGTTTTTGTTTTAATGCTAATCCACCGTCTGCTAAGTGTTATAAATAAATTAGAATGTGTCAACCGCAGAGCTTTTGGACTCTGATTTCAAGTTAACTTCAAGTGTTCGCTTCGATTTCCTTTCGAACGATATGTGAGGCGATCTTGTGCGCTATTGCAGCGAATCGCCGATGAAAATTGTAAGCGGTTTCGTCTCCCCCGCCTCAAAGGTGCAACCTACCCCGTTGCCACGGAATCTCCTGCGGATTTAATTGCCAATATTTAACAAGCGAGCCGTTTCTGAACCTGTTTTCTTTGGCTGTTGCTAAATGACTGGCTTTCAAATCACAAAATGACCAGCAGTCCAATAGCTTTGGTCCAATTTAATAAGGGGAATCGGAGGAACCGATCTTATGCGGATTAAAAAGCTAGGCCTGAACTTTATAGGTCTCAAGTTACGCTGGGCTCAGAGATGGTTTGTGACACTTTGGTCGCTTTTAGGTCGAAAATATTCATCCATCGATATGAACCTGGACGTGACTTATTTTAAGTTATTTCCCTATTCCTATATATGCAGACGTTCTATATATGCAGACGTTCTAATTATTGCTGGCCACGCAATAAGGACTATTCAGCGTAAAGGCTATTGCAATTAATTAACAGGAATATTGACGCGGTTTTGTAGAAAGCCCATGCATTGTGACTGATATATGCAAAAGTTTTGTTTGTGCTGCCGAATTCGACACCCGATAAATTCGTTGCAAGCAGCATCGGCCGTTTTAGGTTTCTAGGCACTGTTATCTTACAATTAGATAAAAATAGGAGCGAAACAATTTTATCGGGTCGATGGTCCATTTCAGAAATAGAGTCAAAATGCCATAAACGCAAGTCAAAAACAGCGCTGTGTGATATGAAAGACATGCTTGAGTGGCTAAACTTTCGCTCTTGAATGGTCCTCAGTAGGACTGTGCAATTATTTATAAATTTGCTTACATCCATTAAAAAAAAAAAAAAAAAAAAGGAAAAATGATTGCCGGGTTCTAATACAAATTAAATTGATTTAATTAAAACCCTTATAAACTGCTTACAGTATGATTTAAACATCTACCAGCAACTAGGCGTACGCTACTGATGATATGCATGCAGTCAGCATTATAACAACACTATGACATTTCGCTGTTAACGAAAACTCGATTTGGCCTCAAGTTTTTACTCTGTTGGATCAAGAACTAAAAATTATTTCATCATACCCTGCCGGATAAATGCAGATAAGCAGTTCGAAACGTTGTAGTCTGTTTTCAGGTTCATATACAACAAAGTTGGGTAACGAGGGAGCCATTTCATGTGCCGCTAGTGGTCTCAGAGTACCCAGGGTATCCAATTCATGGAAATCGATGATCGGAAAACCAATCGAACAATCGATATCAATCGATAAAATTAGTTAATTGGGATCGATTGGTATCGGTCAATCGATGATCAATCGACAACCACACAAAAACCGTTCCTTGATTGCCATCGATTGGCACGGCAACCTCGAACAGACGTCATGCACACTACCTGTTCGATCAAGTTCAAAAGTAGGAAAAGCTAAGTGTTCTTGTCATTGCATCATTGCGCAATCAAGAGCCTTATTGTCACACCACTTTGTCACGCGAAGTCACACAAGCCCGAAACTCCCAGTCAAGCAGTACAGCGGAACTCCAAGTGAAATTCAAACCTGGTGTGTAAGCTGACCATAAACTGAGCACTTTCAAGATGGCGGCCGATGTTCACTTCGGTGATCTGAAAGGTTTGTAAACCCTTCAGTTCGACAATATTTCAAGATGTCACGGGACCAGGTCACGAAAAGACGCGTTTAATCAACCTTGTTGGGAACCATGAAAACAACTTGTAAAGCACTATATATGTGATGAATTAAGCTTTCGAATGTGAACTTTGCAAAGATATTTGTGACACTCACCAGCGCTTCTGAGAGGAAACAAGTTGAGAATTTGTAACTCACACGTCGGCTTTGATGGGAATTAAGCGAATGGCGAACTTGGCGGAATTTACTGTAAATAAAACAGTTCTTCAGGAACCGTGGAAACTTTCAAAGCAACAATAACTGTCTTTATGATAAGATCTGAGGAATCTGGAAATGATTCATTGTCCTGACTTGAGAAGAACGGATAAATCAAGGTAGGGAAAATTCCATTTATTTATTTGTTTTTGATCTACGCGGCGGTCATAATGTATGAAATTGTTCGCCATGAGCCAGAAAAAAAAAAAAGAAAGAAAGAAAGAAAGAAAGAAAGAAAGAATGCATATATGTGACAAGACTTCTAACGCACGTATTGTAATTCTTATTAAGCCTTGCCTAACCTTCGCCGTATTGATTTGCTTAAACTCCCAAATCAATTATATGACGTATTACTTTTTTTATTCTCCTTATGTCGTCTTTTCCAGCCTCATGTAGTACTATAAATTATGCAAATAGCTCTTACTCATCTCTAGCTCGAGCTCTTGAACTACACCAACAGTGGGTCCAGGCACTGTGCAATATTGAATAAGAGGCAGACAAAGAAAAAAACAAAACATCTCGTAAATCAGTTCATTTTGGGGGAGAGGGGGATTTCCAAAAATATCAACTGGCTTTCTGAAACTAGGAAATAGGCTATTTACGAGTTATACCTTGTGCCTCTGTTTTTAAACGAGTCCTCTTGCAAAACCTTTCATATGAGAATGAGTTTGATTTCCATGAAAATGAACTGTTGACAGAGCACATTTTCATTTGAATGGTTTTTTACGAAGACTCGTTTTGAGGCAGAGGTAACAAGCAACTCCCAAATGGCCTATTCTTTACCTTTGGCACCATGTTATCTATAGATGTGAGACTCTATCAACGACTATCTTATACGCGTGATACAGATGCATTTGTGTGTTACTACGTTTCCGTGTACATGTGACGAGTATACTTCCACTTTGCTTTCTTATCAAAACGTTTCATAAGTTGACTTTCCATGGTATCTCGATCAGGCTCAAACGAAACTTCGTTAAGTACAGTAATATATGAAATAAGCAGTTGTTCAAATACTTGATCCTCCTGAATGTCACTCAAGGCTACGTCAGCAAATAGTCCTGTAAGATCGCTCAGCTTGGGGTCAACAATGAGGCTTTTCTCCAATTCAGAATCTGCCCCAGGCCTGTTTCCGAGATTGTTATTGCAAATTTGATAATCAGCAAAGTCAAAGTTTTCCGAAGCATTCGCTCCCTCTTCGTTGTCTTGATCAAGTTCCTTTGTCGCTCTGTCCAACAACCTGTAGTAATAAGAAACTTCCTGCTCCGTTGATTCGCTGTTTTCCTCGTTCGCTTGAAACATGTCTTGTTCTTCAGCAGTAAGGCTGTCTAGCGCTTTGCCCAGCAAATCATAATAACGGGACACGTTGGAGTCTTCGGGTACCTCCGTTCCGCCAATGGTATTCTCGGTGGCAATGGAGGAGGAACAATAACCAGAGCTCGAATTTCTCCTGCTTTTGGGGAGAGTTTGAGAACGAGGGCTATCAGGCGGTGAACTATTCTTAGAAGGTGGATGGTCGTCACTGACCCTTTCACAAGGTCCATTTTCTTCTTTCTGCGATACTATGGATGACCTCCTAGAAAATGTCTCTCTATCATGAGAGGAATCTGAACATACAACACTGCAATCCTCTTCTGGAGGGGCTAAACTTTCTCGTGACTCGTCATGACAGGGCGAGATTGCCTCTTTACAGGTTTCAATTTCAAAGCGATCACTTGGCAGTGACAGAAATGGCTCATCGCGACACGAGGAGGCTGTTTTGCTGCTCTCTGTTTCGACGTGTTCGTTGGCTAGTAACATAGATGAAGACCAAGCAGACAATTGCTCCTCCTCATGTTTACCATGTTGTGTTTCACTGGAATCACCAGCATTCTCAATCGATGAGAATGAAGCTTGGGCAACTTTTAGTGGGCAATTTTGTTCATTGAGTGTTTCCTGCGTCTGCTCCAACCAGCTGTCGCTTATGGACTTAAATGTGGTAGTTTCACTTACAGGCTGATTTATACTGCTCCTGCGTTCATGATCATTGGCTGAATTGGAATTAGAGCTGGAATTAAGGCTGTCTCCCGACGCAACATCGGTTTCTGCTAAGATATCGACCTTGTCAGTCCTCAATAAAAAGTATTTAAAACGTTTTATAATCATCTCTACTACTTCAGAGTCCTCTGATGCTAGATGTTCATCTTCTTGGACCTCGGCATAGGAGTCCATCAGTATTGTTAAAAACACGTTTAGTAGTATCATAACCATTATCATCATAAACGAGAAAAAGATGATTGGTCCTAGGATTGGACTGTTCTCTCTGATGATCTCAAAATCAAATGCTCCCATAACGGTGTTGAACAATGTTTCAACGGTGAAAAGAAAGGAGCGGTATTCGGGCAATATAGCCCCAAACATTGCGTAAAACAGGATACTGTAAGCAACGTAGAAAATGGAGAAGACAATCATGAAAGACATCAATGGTGATGCAGCCGTTGAAAGAGTCTTGGTGAATTGGTAGATCCTGTGGTTGAATCGAATCAGTTTTAGCAGCTTCAAATTAGCAAAGAAAACTAGAAAGGCTAACGAGTATCCAAAAACTTCGTCCCATGTAATTGTCCGTATGAAACTAACAAACTTTTCGGGATTAGACTTCATTTGTTCTATCGAACTTTGGGCGAAACTTGTTCTCTGAAACAAAGCACCAGTGCAAGTTAATATCAGTACGATCTGCGCCATTTCAAGCCAGTTCCACGGATCTCTGAAATAGTTCTTTCGCAGCTTGTACATTTTCTTGATTTCAGCGTACATAAACACAACTACAAAACAAGCAAGGAAAATTTCGCACACAAGCGTCACAATGTGAAAATCGTTTCCGATGGAATATAAGCGGGCAACTTTAACGTTACTGAAATAAATAACACCATTGGTTGGAATCCACTCAGTTAAGAAAGTCGCAACGCCAAACAGGTTGACTTGGGCACTGTAAATTGCGATTTCTACGAATATGGCACGAGTTCTTGAATCAATCCAAGAGTTTTCCTTTAAGGAAGTCAAGAATGCCTCTGTCAAGTTGGAAAATGACAAATCGAAGGAATAACCACCACCACCGTATGTGCCCATGATTCCTAAAAATGGTATGCCTCCAAGTTCACTCATAGTCTGATAAGCCCACGGCGAGGTTGTGGCGTTTGATGTGGTATTTGATGTGGTATTTGATGACGTATTTGAAGTTGTATTTACCACTGCCCACCCTGTACCGTAATTGTTTTTGTCCTCGTTAAATAATGAATAGAAGTCATTACACACAGAGATCCCTTCTCTTAATGGTCCAGGTACTTTGCAACTCCCTAAAGGTTCAAATAGTTAAGCACAACATTATCTTAAGTTGAATACTTTATCCTCGTAAATGGTGAATGTTAATAGTAAAGTCTTTTATTAAGACATGATGATAGATGTGAATGCAGCCATAACACTACTGGAAAAAATATTCAGGCTTTTCCAGTAGTGTTATGACTGCCTTCGCATCTATCATCATGTCTACATTTAATTGCTCCTGTTGGACATCTATTACTATGATCTTCTATTAAGGAAGGTGTTTTGGCCATAACGTTTTATTGCAGACTTGTAAATTCATAGTAGGTCGCTAATTATGAAAGGAAGGGTACACAAATTAGCAAGAAAGGTAGAAGAGCATAGAAGCTAATACACATTTACGACACACTTTCCGGTACTTTGTTATGAACCTCCATAGCCGGTCTTCATATTGGTTGAGGTTTGGGAATAGGAAAACAGTATGCTTCCTAACATAGGCACATCTAAGTTTAAAATGTACCTGGAGAAACTCTGAGTTGACGTATTCTTGCCCCACCAACAAGGCGTGAATTGCAGTCTATTGTGTATTGCTCCAAAGGGTGGCAACCTTTAGCCCAGTCACGACTTGAAGAGGATAAACTTGGTAAGATAGTGCCTTCTATCCAATTCCAGTAGTTATCAACTCCGTCCGTCTGGAAATGAATTGTAAAATGTTTTTATCATCTTCTCTGAACGTCTTCGAATATTTATATGAACCGCTTTTCTTTCCGTGAGTGAAATATGTCTGTACATACTTGCTTACTTAGCTTATTCCCTTCGTCCTGTGTGGAATGTGGAAGCTTGTGGAGAACTTGAATTGACTCGTTTTCAAGTGAAATTGGTAGAGAAGCGAGGTTAAGTAACAATATGCAGTTTGTCAAAGTTCTAGTAACACACTTTTTTATATGCAAGTTAACTTAAAACTATGCAACGCGTTCTGCTGGTGTACCGTTGAATATCCCTCAAGTCATTTGTATTTTCTCGGTATGCGCGCGAGACTTTAGTGTCTAATACGTACCATCAATGCATTGCAAAATGAGAAGGTTGGGTGTAAATACCGTCGGGTATATAACGGCTTTTCTGTATTCCGATTGGCTGCATTTTATATGCCATGGTATAAATCCTTAAGCAGAACAAAGGATTATCTAACTTAAGTGAGCCCTTATTCCGTTTTCCTCTATTTCATCTTGCTGGTATGGGAGAGAGTCTGTACACGAGGCAAATGGGTCATCGGGCTAGTACTTATCCCGGTCTCAGTAGCATGAAGTGAAGCGACTTGGAGCATTTCAACTTCCCCCCCCNCCCCTGGATGGGATGCTAGTTCATCGCAGCGTTACCCACCCCCCAGCCGGTACTCATTTATACACATGGGCGGAGAGAGGCACTGTGAGAGAAAGGTGTCTTGCCTAAGAACACAACACACTGTCCCAAGCGAAGGCTCGAAACTGGACCGCTCGGTCCGGAGGTAAGCCATGAGGTCGCCGCGCCGCGCCGCGCCTGCCTGCTTGCAGGTCTAGGCGGTAATCGTTTGCATGTCATGCTGGATGCAGTACAGTCCGCGATATTTCCAAACACGGTGAAGAGAAAGGGAGCCGGACGGCGCTCAGTGCAGTATTTTTGACGAGCTTCTTGGTGTTTGGAAATGTGGTAAAACAACGTTGTGATCGATCGACAGTGTGATATTACCCTCTACACGCAGACTAAAACAAAGATCACTTATCTTACCTCATATAGTTTCTGGCCGGTGTACACTCCTCCAAGATACGTATCTTCTATTAGTTTGGCAATAAAATAGGCTTGAGGATCTCGTTGACCAAAACTTACCAGGAACAAGGCGAGCAGGAAAAGTACGTATGTAATTATCTCTTTAATAATTTGAGACATTCGTATTTCTTGTTTTCTCTGTTTTCTGGCTTTACTAAGTTCAGTGGCATCTGGTGGTTCTAGATTTATAAAGGGATATTGTTCAAATCTCCGGTGCATAAACTTCTTATATTCAGGGAACCCCTGTTCGAAATTGCCAAAACCGTTTTCTTCCTCGACACCATCACTACCTTCATCATCATCGTCATCATTCATGTCGTTACTTTCCGAATTGATTGATTGTATTTGTTCCTGAGGTTTCTTTATCACAAGAGCAATAAACAAAGCCACGAACAACACCTTGATCGGTTGGCTAATAAAGATGTCTTGAATGAGAGATATCAACAGGGAGGCAAGCCACTGGGATGATTTCTCTCTGCCAAACTGAAAACCGTATAAAGTAACAAAGAAAGCTGAAACAAAGGAGACGGCAAAAACTCCAAGCCACGCAATATATACACACCAGTGAGGAAGATTACGTTTCCTTCTTTTACGTGGCTCAGGCATATGGCCACCTTTCTCGTTGAATTTTACCTCGACATTACAATCCTCTGAGGCTGAAAAATCGATCTCACTTCCCTGCCAATCGTTTTGGTTTAATTCTGTGAGGGAACTCTGACTGTTGCAGCTGCTCGTACTCCTATTTAACCACTGTGTAGTCTTTTCCTTCATGTCAACTGTTTCAACAGGGGGCAGCCCCACAGAGATAGATTCAAGGCCTCCACTGTGCAATTCTTCTTCTTGATCTTGGGTACGATACCACTGAATTATGTCTTCAAAATCCCCTTGGTAAACCCGTGCCCTCTTTTTCGTTTTTAAACTGTGTGTTTGCTTTACTTTTACTATCTTTTCCTTTGAAATTTTGGGTGCTACGTTTCGAAAAAGTACAACAATGGCAATATTTAGAGGAAAAATTATTACGCTGCTTATAATACCGATGTACCACTCTCGAGGAGAGAGGCTTATGGGCCCTAAATTCAAGGTGATCAAGGGATCTGACTCTCCATCAAGCTGATAGAACATAGCATTGGCCAACATGGTGCAGTAAAGAAGAGCCAAACAGCAAGAAAGTCGCTGGGCAGTAGTGAAGTTACTCTTGTTTGGTTTGGTAAACACAGAAACCCACAGATGACTATCTGTTATATTCTTCTGCGTGACATCGTTAAACAAATGGTTGAATGATCTGAGATAATCCTGCCTAGCGGAAGGCAAAGTCCGCAGCACCTCACCATCGTCGAACTCGACTGCAAGCCAACGGTTACACATGAAAACAAACACGCAGCCGGTTTTCAGGTCCCGTATTATGACTTCTTTTAAAAACCATGATGGGTTAGATCCTGAGTTGTTATGCCAGATCCTTAGGAGGGTGAGGTCGCCTAAATGTCGAGATGTAGTGAGAAGAAATGAGTCCATGCCAGACCTTTGAAAACGCACTTGGCTTGGATCTCTCAACGGGCGTGGACCACTCTCACCCTCCAGTCCGATTAGATCACAGCAGACATCAGCGGTGGTTCCGGCTCCTTTTCTCCTCCCCGTTAACACCAAAATTTCGTACTGGTAGCGATCTGATGGGTCATTTCCTTCCAGGAGAATAGTTTCCGCCTAAGAAGAGAAAGCTCATTATAAATGGTACAAATGCATTTTTTCTATTCTTTACCGCCAGCCCCGTTCCCCAGATCAAATCGCCTGTCCGTTTATATTTTTTCAGTGGCATCAGTTTGTTGATCAGTCAGTCTAGCCTGTTCCAGGCTCTCAGTCAGTGGGGACTATCGCAAAACAGGGCGGGCGACGAGCGGGATAGTCCCCACTGACTGAGAGCCTGGAACAGCCTAAGTCTGTTAAGTGGACATAGCGATCAAGAAAAAGAAAAAGACCAAGTTATAGTAAACCTCAAACTGAGTAGTAGAAGAAGAAGAACAGGAGGAAGCGACACTGAAGAGATGCAGAAGGAAAAGTAGAAAAAAAAGTGAAGGACATAATAGAGGGGGAAAGGAAATTCAAGGATGATGAAGGGCAGGAGGAGGAGATGGCAGAGGGAGTTAAGAGGAGGAAAGGGGAATGAGACAATGTGTACCTTCTTTGCATTGTAGATATCGCGTCTTCTAGCCCAGATAAGAAGCAGAATGTAGACTCCCAAAATAGATAGCACTAAAGTGAAGACCAAGGGATTCTCAGACAGTTCCACGAATCCTCTCAAAGCCTTACGGAAATCAATTACATTTGGCTCGACAAGCATTTGTGCTGCAAAGGATGTGAGGTGATTACAAAGACACTGAACCTCCATAGTGGTTGTTTCTGTGCCAACCTGTTAAGTAACGTTAGTGGATCAGCAAAGTTAACAGTTATTTAATGCGTCGAGGGGAAAAGCGACGGGGGGAGCAACTGGATGAACACCATATCCTTGTTTGTTTTACTCTTTTTTAACCCCAACGGCCTTACACCATGTACATGCGAACATACAGTAGGTAAGGAATTACTCTACAGGACCAGCTGGTTTCACGTTGCTTATGTAGTTATGGATGTAACGCCCTGGAATTTCGATATCACCACGGCTTAATCGATTCTCACAAAATTATTACGCACGGAAACGTAAAACATTTACCAGGACGAATAAGTTTGTCTAAATTAGTAAATATGGGAAAATCTGAATATCAGGCGACGTTTAAAAAAGATTCGGAGACACCATTTGCAACATAAACATTTTCGGAGGAAGGATTAAACTAAATCACTTCTGTACCCAATCCAGGTCAATCAACAACGGTTCTAAAATAATTAAGTGAATTTTTTGCAAGTAATATAACGGAACATTCTTACCCGACACCCATCCAGACTCCATCCTTCTAGTTCCTCGAGCCAGTAAAGACATTTCATCTTAGATACTTTCAGACTATACGGAGCACTAGCATTTGTTGATGTCACGGATCCTGCCGAAGAACTCGGGATGTTAGACGTAGCTTTCACTTCAATGTAGTAAGTTCCTTCGTTCAGTAAACGAGATTCCAACAGAAGGACTTTCCTCTCTTTTCCATCCAGCCGCCAAAATGCCAAGTTATCTGCCACGGATGGTCTCTTTCCATATCCTACCATTATGGTCCATTGAAAAGCAGTTTCATTCCGGGAGACAAACTCAATAGCTACTGCTACGTCGGCAAAACTTATCTTAAAAGTATGATACTGAGTTGATGTCTCGTGCAAGTGTAGAACAAAGGCCTCTTTGTCTGCATCAAATGGACGCTCTTTATGATGAATTCTGATGTCTATCTCATTTGTTAGACCGCTGATTGAAAACTTGCTTCCGCTCGATCTCTTTACTTCTAAGGCGACCACTGACGAGGTTATATTATCATCACCGCAGTTTCTGTATGGATTCTCCTTGAAGGCCAGCATCTACGATTAAATGACGACAAATTTAATCAAGCTTTATATCCTTAATTATACAAGGGACTTCATACAGCCAAAACGTCGACGTTGATGTAAGTGAGTGAATCCCTCCCTGATCATAAGGTCCAGAAGAAGGAGAACCTGCCAATACCTGATTCAAGCTTGTATGCAATTAATTATCAGTCAAGGAATAATAAACAATTATTGGATGAAGTTTTTGTTATATCCAGAATAATCAAGTAGGGTTTATTAGCCGAAGCCGGAGGCTGAGGCTGATAACTCTTACCGAGACCTTGATTATTTTGGATAACACAAAAACCCAGTCTAATAATTGTTTTATTATACGTTGAAAGAAAAAAATGGAAGTTATGTTTTTGCTTCTTCACTGACGGCAAGCAGCACAAAGCGCGAGAACTTGACATGATTATCCTTAGAGATCATGCACCGCGGTCATACATGACATGACTACCTTGACATAGTTATTGTATAATTTGCAGTTAGATGACGTCAAAAACGCTGATTTCGAAAATCCACTGTACGCTTTCGGCCAATCAGAAAAAAGATGGTGGGTTCAATGCTTAATAATTGTGATAATGATCACCTTCTTAATCTGTTCGTGAGAAATCGATCACTTTTAGAGCCGTTTTAAATTTGATAATGTCTAACTGTTAGCTCTTCAATTAGCTTATGGAGAGTTAGGGCTACCTGAAGATTTACTGCATCATCAACCGTTAGGTTGCTAGCAGGAAAGATTTCATCTTTGGGAAGTTTGAACATTCCAAGGTCATGCTCGATGGTGGAGTCGTTCATAGACTGGGCTAAGGTTTTCCTAAGTCTCGCTGCTATATTTGTAGTGTTAATCACTGTATCCACGTCGCCCGGTGTCTTAGCTCTCAGAACGGCTAAACATATTTTGTTTAATGCCTGTAGGATCGTGCTAGAAACATTTCTGCTTCTCTCCTGTATAGAAAGTTAAATACAAATATGGTTAGGAGTAGAAGAAAGAAATATATATGCAAGAATGTCCATCAGCCAAAGCTTTTAGGATTTTACTTCAACATATAGCTTCATAGACATAGAAATGACCCCTACAAATACACAACAGACAGACTGACAGACAAACAGACAGAGAGACAGACGTGACGCGTACGACAGAACGACTAAACGGCAGAACGACAGACAGGCAGACAGAAAAATAGAAGGAAAGGCAGGCAGACAAGCAAACGGGCAGGCAGGCAGGCAGGTAGGCAGAGAGACAGGCCAACAGACGGACCGACAGATAGAGAGATTTAGAAAATCAATAACATCCAGACAGTGTTAACCCATCCCTATTCCTCCCGCAGTACATATTTCAATCTAACAATTGAATTTTTATATGTTGACTTAACATATTTACCTTGATCTTGTCAGTACAGCTATGCACTGAACCATTGCGGTCGATTGAAAGACCATTAGCGACGCTGTCTTGTATGTTCGCAACGCTCTTAAAAATTGTCTCCGCCATCTTTTCCAAGAACGATACGGGTAAATCCGTTCTCTTCACAGTGGCTTCCACAATGTTGTTTAGTAATGCAGCACTTTCGTCCTTGAACCAAAAATATAAATATATATCAGTGGGAGATGAAATCGTAGGAGGTAATTGTCCCTCCGGCGTAAAAGCAATGCTCAATAAAACTAGACAAAAGTGTGCCATTAACGTCTATATTTGGATGTAAACCTACATGTTGTAATGGAGTTACTGCGGCCATGACAAATAGCAAAGGGAAATAGGTAATGGTCTCAGCTTCACAGTATAAGTCTCCATGCAAAATTTTTGAAAAAGGAAAAAGAACAATCCAGGGTGGTATCCAATCCATGCCTTACGGCCCTTGCATTCCTCTACCGAGAAACAGCGTGGTAGGGTAGTTAGGGCGGTGGACTTGAATTCAGAGATCTTGGGTTTCAGTCTCTTTCTTAATTATCAGTAGCTGGTGTTGTTTAATTCTGGGTAATCCCGTGTTCAACTCCTCGGCTACGGCTTGTAAGAAAGGCAACTCAGGTCTACCTACTGTGTGTCTCTGTAGTGATAACCGCCTCATTTATATGCGTATATTTTTTAGTTTAATTAGTTTCAAGTACTTCGATCATTAGCACACTTCATCAGTCACATACTAACATAGTTGGAAGTAGGCTGGTGTCTGTTTCGAGAAGTGCAATAATTCAATAGGAGCTAATAGGAAAAAGTAAATAAAGACTCTGACACTAAACACATTAAAAGATAAGTTTTACCCGTGCATTTAAAGTGAGAACATCCTTATTTGCGGTGGCCGTGTCAAGAGTGTCACTGATGACCAGAAAGTCATCAACAGTTGTCTCATCACTATTTGCTACAATTTTTGCGACCTGGGATAGTTTGGATATGCTCTTTTCAATTATCTGAAAAGGAAAAACCCACATCAGATAAAGACTAAGGCATAATAGCCACTTTAGTATTTTCATAGTAAATGGTTTGAACCCAGGAGTATCAGTAGGTCGTATGGGTGAGGCTAGTTCTGTTAACGAACTGTTGTTGGTGACTGACGTCTCGACAACCTGAGCGGGAGTCATCTTCAGAGTCAAGTGAATAGTGTTTGTCAGTCTGGTCCACTGAACGTGATTGGTCAGTTTAGCCATGATGATGTTGGCTCAAAGACTCGTGTAAAGTTTATCATCAGTCATTGGCGGGTTTCGATCCGTCTATTGTTAGTCAAACTGGTCGGTTTTTGGTCCGTGTATTGTTAGTCAGATTAAGTCGGTCTGTTAGAGGTTCGTTTGTCGGTTTCGTTTCCGTCATGGATAAGTCGTTTGCAAGGCGCCGGTAGTTGTTGACATCTGTTAAGAGGCGTTTATTCTAGGTTAGTGTACCAGCTTTCCGGAGTCAGTCGTTGANATCACCATTTCTCGTGGCTCGTTTGTGTTCAGTCAGTCTCGTGTTAAGGTTTCTGCCAGTCTCACCCATGGGGATGCCAACAATCACATTGCTGTGCATCATCAACTGACAAACCACAACATTGACTGGGACTCTGTTCAGTGCTTAACCGTTTGACTAACGGAAAGAAATCTGACGGGAAATTGGACGAAACAATGTGATCATCGACAAAGTGGGCTAAATCAGATGAAATTCCGTAAGAGTGTGACGAATTTTTTTCGTTTGGTGTTAAGTATCTTTTGAGAGCAATTCGCTCAGTTTTTGCGTTCTTCCCCGACAATCTTAGGGAAAACGATAGAGACAGCTCGCAGTCTGCATAATGGAATAAATTAGAAAAAAAACTTACTTTAGCGTGTTTAATTTGCTCCGCTGAGATCGCTACCCTGGTGGGTGTGGGTGTCACGTCTTGAGATGTCACGCCAGCTTCCGTTGCTTCACCTGGTGACTGTTGGGTGGCTATCTCATTGGTAGGCTGGATGTCTGTTATCGCTGTTGTCTGAAGAGTCTTTTCTTCGCTGGAGAGTGAAAGCAGTGCTAGGGTGTAAGCTAAATTCTGCGTCAGCTTTCTAGCTTCATCAGGGTTGCTGACAGGGGTATCTTTAGCATCTAAATCGCTGATCAAATCATCTACATTCACTTTCTCTCTCTCGCCTTGTTTCAGCTAGGTAGAAAAAGAAAAGTGCAAAAATATAACTATATAAAATGGTTAATAACAACATGGCCAGTGAAGAGGGTGGCGTTAGCAGAGGAGCTTGAATGGAATATCTGAATGGAAAACTACACGGAAAACCCATGTATGTGGAGATTTCTCTTAAGCAAAAAAAATCGTTAGGTAATGTCGGGCAGCTTTCTTTTTTTTTTTTTTAACGAAAGTTTTTAATTAGATGCACAACCCCGCATTATGGGTCGCTTTTCTTAAACTGACATGGCCTGCGGTTGGCGGATAGCTTTAAATTCGAAATCGTGGACAATGATGTCTCATCACATTGGAGTGAGTCGAGTCACTCGGGAGACTCTGAAGATCCTTTTGGCAAATGGAGATAGCAACCACAGCATTATGTGATATTTGAGGAAAACGAGAAAATTTAACTCGTTTCGGTAAGTTAGAAGTTAGTTAGTTTTGTTAGGATATTTAGAAAAATCGTTTTGGTTGTGAAACAGGGCAGCTTATTATAGTTAATATAAACAACAACATTGTAGCAGCTTTAAGAATTCGGAGCAGTTTCTGAGCAACTTTAAGACTTTTTGCGCAACATTTTAGCAACTTTCTAAGATATTTTAAAGCATCTTAGGGAGAGCCAAACTTCGTTTTTGCCCTTCATAATCACATTTCCTTATTTCTACCAGCTTCCATAAACTGACGCTTTCCAGGTATGAACATTCAAACCTAGATCCAAATCTGATTGTTGTTGTTATGTCACGCAGACAAAAAAAAAGGGTGTCGTGAAGCTGATTTTACATCAAAATAAGTCATTACTCAAGACATTCATGAGTGTAAATCATTAGACATTTATGGTACAAAACTAGTTTTCTACCTCTGCAAATTTATCTCTCTTACCTCTGCATAGATGACCATTTCTATCTTCCAACCAAGCGAGTCTTCAACTGATATTGTGATAGGTATTTGTATGGAGGACATGCCCTCGTCGGGTAGCTTGAGAATCTTAAACTCGCTTGATGAACTTGGGTTTTCGCTTGACTTTGGAACTGGAGTTGCATCACCGCCATAACTATAACTGAATCCGTACCTAAGAGGCGTGTCAGGATCTACCCAGCCAATGCAGGTGACCTGAAAGTCGGTTTTGTAGCCTTCCCCCGTCTTTGGATGACATGTACAATTTCCAGCCATTGGAGGTTCATTTACTCTTATAGTCTCGTTGATATAGCCAGACTCTCCGCCTTCCCTCCAGACTTCCAACTGAACGAGGCCCTCACCTCCAGGTCTCAAAATATCTTGAAAAATGTAGGCCTTTACAGTGAAGTAATCATTTGACGTTTCTATATTTAGCTGACTCGGAATGTCTACGGGAGACCAATGATCTCCGTCTTTCATGAACATGCTCCAATCATAGAAAATCGTAGATATACCACATTCGTTCACGCAAACAGCTTCTAGTCTGAGGTCTATTGACGGCGACAGCTTAACAGAGCAATCCCGCTCGGGGCAACTGTTAACGAAGGAAAGGGGTTAGATACGTAAATACGTATTGATGAGAACAACAATAGATTATATTACATTAACGCTCTCCTGCAACAAACGACTGGTCCATGTTTAATTCTGGCCAGTGTTCCATGATGTGTTTTTTGGTACGCTTTGTCTCTCACTGCATCCGGAGAGTCTACACAAGTGCACAGAACAGAAATGGTAACCTGGTATTGGAACTATCTGAAAAAATATGTTGGCACGAAACGGGAGAGAAGTCTGCTAAGCGCGTCCTCTGGAAGAAATGGTACTCTATTTTATGCCACAAATATCAGTGTAAAGCACTGTTACTAAGGACTTTATTCCCAAGGATGAAAATATTAATCGCAAAGCGACCTCCGTAATCACGGCTCGAAATCCTCCGTTTAACACAGGGTCCTACTGACGGTTACATTTCGCTAACTCTGTTCAACAGCATAACGTAACGCGATTACACATCATAACGAGCTTACTGTATTTTATTACTTTGCTCAGTTTAGGCGAAGTCTTCTCTTCACAGCATAAATTGCAAGTAGATGAAAATGTAGTTTTTATTTCAATAATTGTGTATCTGCAGCTATTCACTAACGTGCCTACCTTATTTTCATTTCCGGTGGTGGTGGCGGCGGTGGCGGCGGCGGTGGTGGTGGTGGCAAAACAAATACTTCCACCTCATCTGTCAGAGGATCGCGGCCTTCTTTTGTAACTTTCACCTTAAATATGTAGGTTTCGTTTCCAACATATTTATCAAGACTCGTGCTGAAAATCGAGGAGTCAAGAATTTTTATGAAGTCGTCAAAGCTCAGCTGATCATCGTAGCAGTGAGTAAAATACAGGGTCCTGCAGTACCATTTGAATTCCATGTCTTTTTGATCTTCACCTTCTTCTAGATCAGGGTCATGAAACGACGCGTCTATCGTGAGGGTTTCTTCCTTACTTACGTTCTGTTTTTCTATTTCTATGCCTCCGGTAAGGGGGGAGCGGATTATTTCAACATTAATAGTGGCGTTCCTAATCACTTCTCCATAGAGACTTTTTAACTCCTTGCTTGCCAATTCCACAATGAAGGCAAAAATGTATTCTCCGTATAACAAAGAGCGAGCCTCAGTTGTAATTTGTAAAGATCCAGTTTCTTCTCTCACAATTCCTACCTCTCCATTGACGTTAGATTCATCCCCTGCAAGACTTAATCTCTTCACAATCCACTTTAACTTTACATCCTTAGAAGTTGCAAGGGGGCACTTGTTGATATAATTCCCTTTAAACTGAAACTGAGGTTCAGATCGTTTGTACTTTAAAGTCTGTGAGCTATCTTCTATTTGTTTCAAATCTCCATTCACTGATTCCCATAGTGAAACACTGTCAATTCTGCAATCAGGCTTAGTGACTTCAACGACCACGCAAACTTTGGCCTCTGATACATTGTTGAATACATTAAGGCAAGCTGAATAAGTACCCTCGGAAAGATATGTGTGATTAAATGAAAATGTATAATTACTTGTATTAATTGTTGAACAATTAAATCTTGGTTTTGAGGAGTCATTCAACGTCGCTTTAAAACACGTACCGTCATCGAATTTTGGTGCAGCGATATGAAATCGAGTAGCACTTCTTAGCCAAGTGAAACCACTTGATGAGAACGTTACACCGCCTATTGTCTCTTGGACAATAAATTCAACTGATGCCGACATATTTTGGACGACTTTATCCACAAGAACAATTGCAGAAAATACTCCTGCTTTTTCTAAAATCACATTAGTAAAAGGTTCCTTGGTGACCGCAAGATCTCCTAATTCTGTCATTCCCCAGTAGTAAGCCAGGTCAAAATCTTGAGAAGTTGTCATAAATGTTACATTATCGCCTAGAGTGAAGTATTTCCCGTATGGAATCCCTGTAATAATGGCTGAATAGTTGCAATCGAGGCACACTTTCATAGATGGCTTGATTAATTCTAGAACTGTGACAGTTGTGTTGAGCGCAATTCTGCTGACCTCATTTGAGCAGTTAATATAGGTTGAGAATTTCCCTGGAGATAAATAGTGATGTAACATGACAGCTTTTCCATACGTTAATATCAATGGCCAGCTACCATGTGCTGATGAGTTATCGCCAAAATCCCACGAACAAGATGCATCAGTGGGTAAGGAATGGCTCAAAACTGAGGTTTCCAGACCAAAAGCCACAAATTCGGATACTTTAACTACCGTCGCGTTAGCAGTCAGGGTTATATTAAGCAGAGGATTCTGTACAACCACGGTCGGAGAACAGGTTGTACTGAGCTCACCCAGAAGATTAGATGCGTTTACCCCAACCACAAACGAACCATTTGACATATACAAATGTTCCAGGATAAAGGATATCCAGTGAAGAACACTCTCTCGCAAACGAACGGTTTGAATTTGACTATTTTCAAACTCCGCCACGACTGTGACATGCGAACCCGATTTAATAGAAATATTGAAGAAAGCGTTCTCCGACGCAGTGATGTACCATTGCACTGAATCACAAGTTAAATTGACAATGGGTATCTGTACCCAGGCAACGCTTTGGGCGACTTCGGAACCATGCCGATTTTCGCAAAGAACACTGATGTTATATGCCCCTTCCTCGTCGTATTCGTGAAGCACAGGCAAGTCGACCTCTGACACATCTGTCTGTAAGGTGGTGCCATCTCCAAGAGTCCAATCGCAGACGAAAGCTGTTCCCATGTTCATTAAGAGTGTAAAAACAGATTGTGTCCCCTTGCTTGCGACATCGACCTTTACCTGAAGATTTTTGATCAGCTCGTCCTCCTGCACCACAATCCTTGCAAAATGCGTCTTGTACATATTACTGACACGGTTAGTACAACTGACATTGACAGTATAGTCTCCCGGTGTCCCGTACGCATACATTTGAGTAAACTCGTCGATGCCGCCGTGTAAAACTTTTTCACCGAAATCATAGTCGCAGGACACGTGTGTGCCATTGGCAATACTTGCGTCGACTGTGATGCTTTCATTCACTGCAATGTACATATCTTGAGAACCATTTTTAATTCGGGGTGGCGGGATTCTAAACGTCAAATTGGCAATCGGATCTTGTACATATACAGTGCATGTTGTAATCTTATTTTCAGCTTCGACATCGTTTATAGCATTTATGGAGACATAGTAGATGCCCACACTCTCGTAGTGATGACGTAATGAATTTTGAGCAAAGCCGTCGGTAAATGTCTCGTTAATCTGCTCAGGGCTTCCATCGCCTGTAGATATTGTAAATGAGACGTTTGTTCCTGCAAGTTAGGTAACAAAAAGAAAGTCTGCATACGAGCCAAGTGATAAAAGTGCTTATAACTTAACATTCTCGTCGTGAGATTCGGTGCACTGGAACGACAAAATGGTCAGGATAATCACAGAATTCGCGAAATGACGTTCATTCAAAGTTATAGGCCCATAAATCAATTCAGTGTGAAAGTTCTTCAACATGTTTACAATTAGAATTTTCTTAACAAATACAGTTAAAACAAATGTACCGATCTTTATCACACGAAATTTCTAAACAACTGCTTGAAGTTTCAGTATCCCATTCAGAGCAAATTTGATTTCACTGCGCTGAAACACCCAGACCCATACAGAATCGTAACTTGTGCGAGTACTACATGTACATGCAAAAAAAAGTGAACTACCTTGAGAAATTATCCATTCAATCACTATCTCCTCCATTGGGACTACAGCACCGGTGTTTCTGACGCACTCAAGGCCTTTAATTTCGTCCTGCGCTACAATAATACCACTACTTCGAACAGTGTTATTTCTGTTGGAGGCTGTTACTTGCACATTATAAACACCGGGATCACTATAAACCTGAAACAAAGTCTTGGTAGTTTTAATGAACTCCTCGTCGTCAAGTTTCCATTGATACACAATATTAGTTCCTTCGTGTGGGTCAATGCTGATGAGAACGAATTCTCCAGTCTTGACGGCATGATTCGGAAGGCGTAGACTGAATTGCGAGATTGGAATATCTGCAAAAGAAAATAACAAATAATCTTAATTTGCATCGCTTTTTGCCGGCGTTAATTTTTGGAAGCTTTCATTGCAGTTAGGAATTTCAAAGAAACTTGCAACGCTTTTTACCGGCGCTTTCATTGCAGTTAGGAAATGTATACAAGTAAAAATATGAAAGACCATATATTTGAACTGCGGAGAAAGATATAAAGTTAGAAAAGGTCTTAAGAATGCCTGACTGTTAGGATCGAGAAACGCCGGTCAACGTCCCATTTGACAAATCGCTCATATTTTGCCCAAAGATACCCTTAGGTGACCTAATTCTAAAAATCA